CATCTTCACGTTGTCATCAGTTAATAAATTGGGCACAATAGGATTATGAAGTAGTAACAGGGGGTGGAATCAAGAACCAGGAGATGAACACTGACAAAAAGAATGTACCATTTCTTAATAGAGATAAACCCATTTTTAATGAAACATTTTATTAATATTCCTCTAATACATTCCTCAATATATAATAATTCCTTTCAGTCTATGACATAATAGGGCAGATTGATACAATAAAGAAACCCAAGATGGAAGTCTGATCCATCAACATTTTATTTGCATTTCCAACAGTGAAAAACAAACTAAGCATTTCCTTAGCATAACTAATCCCATTCCAACCAATTCTCTCCAGTCCCGAAAACCCATCTTGTTATAGGAATTAACCCACTTTCCAAAAAGTATTGAAGAAATCTTTCCAGATGCACAGAATTTTTATTTACTCACAATTTATGTAGCCTAGAAACAAAATTAATGAAGGTTGGCTTGCTGCTTAGGAGAAAACTCACATTAAGTCCCTGCTCTGCCAATATCTTCCTGTGTGATCTTGGACAAGTCATTCAGGACAAGTTCACACCTCACAGCAGAGAACGATGCAGAGCTCTCTGAGCTGCTGGTTCCCAAGCCAGGAACCACACATGGCACAGCACTGCTGTACCAGTATGAACCAGAGTCAGCGCTGGTACATTCAGATATCATTGCATGGAGGTGGTTCTAAACCAGTTACCTGGCTCACTCCGCTGAGTGTACTGCTCGAGGTCAGTGATCACACAGCCTGCTCAGCTGTCTTTTCACCTACAGTAAAAGCACATGCTTAAGTTATTGATCTTATTTCTCCATTTGCAGAATGGGAAGAGTAGCACTTTCATGTTTTGCAAGGATGCTGCAGGCATACGAGCAAGAAAACTGAGGAAGCATGGACAGAACAGAGTACCAGAGAGGAGAGAATGCAGCACGGATCTCTAAAACTTATGAAGCACTTGAAAGTTTCTTTGCTGCAATAACTTTATCCCAGGCTTCAGAAAAAAAAACCAAAAAACGTCTATTACCACTAAATGACAAAGTTAAAACTGGAAACACTAAGGACCAAGCTGTGAACAGAAAACTGCTCAGGACCAATTTGACTGAGAAAATAATCAAAAATTTCTTGAGGAAATACCCTGGCTCTTGGGAAATGCCAGTTTATTTAAATTTATTGAAGAACAATAAATTTCTGCTAAGAAAGGTTACTCAGGTTCTGGAAAGATTTTCTGATCAAACCAAAAGGGAGAGGTGCCAATTCCAGAATGTATTGATGATCTGCAGAGTCAACGATAAGACAGACTTAAGTTCAAATCACATGCATGACGAGACCTGGCACAGGGAATTGAACCTGAGGCTCCATATGAGTTCCTGACCTGGCTAGTTTGGCAGTAGTGTCTTTTGTATGCATAACTGAATGCTCACTCTGACTCATATAAGAAAGACTCACATTATAGCCCAAGGTCAGCACACCTGTTTGGATGTGAGAAATGTATGTTTAAATTTCTTTTTCACACAAAGCATTGTTAGGATTTGAAAGCAGTTCTTCCAAAAATCTAAATAAATACCCTGCATGTTGGTGTATTCATTATTCTGTTCCAGTTAAATCTTTCAGAAGTGTCTGTTCTGTACCAGTGTGGAACAGGAAAAAGGTTTTATGAGATAGGAGCCTGTTTCCTCTCCACCTCTAGAAAAAATATCAGAGAGACAGAAAAGAAATAAAGAATTTTATGATAACTTTAAAATCAGGTACACTTATTTTCAATTTATGTTCCACAATTTTTTTGCTAGTGTAACTTCAGGTTTTAACTGAGCTATGTCTGCTTAGCACTCATAAGTGCTAAGAAGAAAGCTCTGTTAATTCTTTTGTGACTCCTAAAACTGGAGTTTTCCACTCACTTCAGAAAACAAAGCCCCTTTTCCTTCCCAGCTAAGTAGAGTACTTTATACCTGTTAGCTGTTCAACTTCCTTTCACTGAAGTTTGCTGTGAAACCATACCAGTCTATGGTCTTTCTCTGAAGGAGGTAGCTGAACTTCAGAAAGCATTTCTACTTACAGTTCTTTCACTTGTCACCCAGGTATCATGATGCTTTTTCTGTTCCCTATTTGGATGAATAAATCTTCAGATGCCTGCTCTGCACACAACCCAAAAGTCTAGCTTTTGGTCTCACACCCTGCCTCTAAGCTGGGGTGGCACAGAGCACGCAAGATGATGGGCTGTTTGCTTCCTTTCCCCACCCTGAAACTCCACACCCAAGCACCCTCCAAGTCCCTTTCATCAAGCAGGGTTATTATTAAGAACAAATTTGAAACTCCAGATAAAACAGTCCAATTGTAAAGTTCCAATCACCATCTATAGTCCTCTCCTCATTCCAGCAAGTCCTAACCTTTCAGCCTTCTTGAGTCCCGGTGTGTGAGTCTCCACATGTTGGATGATGCATGGCTGCTGTATCAACCATGTGACAGACCAGACGGAGAATGCCGTGCCACAATGTGCTGGGTTATGTGACAACTCAACAGGCCAATGATAAAGGAAGATAAATGCTGAAGTTTCACAAATATTTGCTGACATTTGAAAACTTGATTGAATCTAAGTCTCCTCTCTCATAGACCTGACCTACACAGGAAAAGTAATCAGTATGACTGCACCTGAATAGGAAAATGTGTGGAGTCACTCTATCAGTCTCTGACGAAGTCATTCTTAGCTGCCCACAGAATAGGGCTATTCTGGCACTGCTATGCCCATCAATCTCCCAGACAGACTAAAGGTTACATCAGCTTTGCAATCAAATAACAGAAGCTTTGCTGTTATCTTCAGAGATAGTCCTGATTAGAATGCAGGCAAGAGCAGAATTAGGGGCAAAGGTAGAATTCCTGCTCAGGGCAAAGATCTGCTGCAGCACATGCATACTGCTCAGCAGTATACTGACCTCATTGGGGTTTTCTGCACAGCAAAGAATTTCGTCATGCATAAAGACATTTGTAAGAACAGGCTAAAGGCAGCACAGTTGTGAGCTGGAGAAAACTAAACACAGATAAAGGAAACACCACACAAACAAAAAACACCACTTAAAACATGAGTTTCAACCCTCTAACTGAAAGCAGCTTTAAAAAAAAAATCAAACCCTCAAAAAAAGTAGTTCACATAATGTGTAAAAAAGATATTACAAAGAAAACTTCCATTAAGCCACTCTGCTCTGATGTTTCACTCTGAATATACACTGTTTCTCTCATTTAAGTGCAGTAACTGGAATCCAAAAGGCTGTTTGTTTGAGCAATGGTCATTCATGGAAGCGAGTTAAGCTTACTTCACCACCAAGAGAGCCCTTCAAATCGGCAAAAACTCTCCCTACCTTCAGTGGTCATTAGACCACTGATTTCTAGGCACAGAAGAAAGGGTCGTAAGGGATTTTAACAGGTCATATAGGTTCTTCCCCCTCCTCCCAAAAGCAGGATCGACTCTAACTAAATCATAGAATCATAGAATCATTGAGGTTGGAAAAGACCTTTAAGATCATTGAGATCTTAAATGAAGGGTTCCAGTTCATACTAAGAAAATGTATGTTAACTAAACTATGGAAATAGTGGCCTAAAATTCCCATTGAGAACTAGAAATCTCTGGTAAGTGTTTTAATTGATCCTATGCAAGTTCACAAAGACACTGCTTAAAGAACAGTTTGGTGGTTTTGAAGATTTTTTTTTAAACAAAATGACAGCATAATAACAAATGATTGGCAGAAATTAAAAAAAAAAGAAATATTAATCAAAACGTAAAAGACATTTCAAAACAGAAAGTAAACACTGTCACTCACTATCCCTGTTTACAGAAACAAATTTTGGATCCCCTCCAATAGAGACAAAACTCCCAATTCACCCAGAAAAGCAGAGGAGAGAATTTATTTTTCAAGTGCTCTCTACACCACTTGAATACTTTTATCAAATATTTTATATCTTATAAAATAACTTCTTTATTCAAAGAAGTTCTGACTTGATTTCAATCCTTTATCAATGTTATTTATTCTTTCACTAACAGCAAATCTTAACTCTATCTTATAAAAGCTTCACCCATTTAAACCATTCTCAGGTGTGATTCACGCAGAGCGTCTGCACAGTCATCTTCTACAGAGCATAGGTAAATTAAAGATTTATATTGTTGTTAAACAAAAATTGAATGGTCTTCTGGTCCCTCGTCGTCCTAGCCACAATAATCTGCTGCCAGAAATTAGAGGCAGTGTTTAATGCCCATTACACAGCCTGCACCACAGGTAACAACATTTGCAGACAAGGAAACACTAGCTGTGCAGAAGAGGCAGTGAAGTCTCTGTCTGCTGCTGTCACCTCAGTTACGTTCAGCCCCCGCTGCAGGGACTGGCTCCCTTGGCGTGGCTGTGCTCTGTTCTTTCCCAGCTAAACAAAATGTAGGGCTGTGTTATTACCTTCAAATACTGATCCCCTGCTGCTGCCAAATTGTTTAAAGTGATGGCCAGAAGGGAGGGACACTGCCTAATAATTAACTAATATAAACTGAAGCAAAAATCCCCTGACAAGCCTTGTTTTGAGGCCTGTTGATGATTATCAGCTACATTTCCTCCAACCGAGATTTGAGAATATATTTTAAAGCATTAAAGATACAAGGATTGTATTTCACTTCTACTATAACACATTATTTTCATTTTTAGGAAAGAATAATTCTTAACGTGCCAAAAATGCTAACTAATCTTTACAAAATCTCTGGCTGCAAGTCAGGGTTATTAGCATTTCCCTCTTACAGATAGAAAAGCTGAGGTATAGAAGGCAATGCAAATTGCCAGCCCTGAACTAGTTCTGGAGCTCAAAATTGAAATGAGCATCCTTGCTTCTATGGACAGCTGCACTTAGTTTCAGCCAGGGGAGGCAATACAGCTCTAATAAAAGAAGCATTTAAAGCCTTTGCACCCTGTCCTTTCCCCAGTGCTGTTACTGGAAATGTACCTGCCACTCAGCCAAAATGCCGGTGATGTCCCCCAATATGCTTGTGCACTGCCATCGCATGACTGGCACACTTCCAGTCCTGTGCCTGCAGAGGAACTGGGGACCACTGGGGAAGAATGGACCGAGGACATGGGAGGGTATGAACTATTCTTACAAAATGTGTCCTCTCAGCAGCTGTAGAGTGATTCCTGCCACAGGCTTTGCTGCCTCTTTAGATATAAGGAGTCAACTTCTACCGATCTCCACTTGCTCACAGGTAAAAGGCAAAGACAGCCATAAAGACACTAAAAGCCTTACTGAAGTGATAAATCAGCACTGCTCAAGGTCCCCATTCAGGAGAAAATCCTTATTCAGTAAAGAAGTATATGTTTAAGTATTACAGACATCAGTGTAGGTTGCAGGAAGCAATGCTGGCGATTTGTTTGGAAGGCAGAAAGAAGAAGCAGGGATATGCATTTAATTTTCCTGAAAGGAAATCAACCTTTCAGCAATTTGGGCAACGTTGAGTTCAATAGAGGTGCTGTGTTCAAGTATTTTGGCCTCAGAAATGATCTCATGTGAACATCTGCCCACAAAGCATTACAGGAGAAGTGGCATTTCTCTCTGAAATCCTCTGCCAGACTCCGTAAAGATTATAGCCAGTTCTTGGGAAGCATCAAATCCCATGGCAACCGGACCCAGGATGTATTTCCCTCATTCCCCACACTGATGCTGAACAACAGCCCTTTGTTTGGAGTGCTAAATGCAAGCATTTCAAGATGCCCTTCAGAAGGTTCCTCAACAGCTGACCCGTTACTTTGTATGCATTCCGTTTACTTGGTGCTTAAGTTGCAGAACACTTCTCTCTTATACTAGAGCTTTCATAATGGATTAATATTGCAGGGTGGCAAGAAAACACAGTCAGCAGTCCTGTCCACGGCAAGACACAGCCTGGCTCTCATGGATGAGGACACAACCCTTGTGCCAGGAACACACAGGAAAACAGGCTTCCACATCTCCTGGGGTGTGTGGAGAACCGGCCACCACAGCTGTGTGCTTCACAGTGCCACAGGAGGGCTGAAGTAGGGAACCAGACCATGAAGCTGGAGCAAAGCACTCGGCCTTTCACTCACGGCGCATCTCCAGACTCTACATAGAGGTGCATTTTTGTCTCTTTCCGGGCAGAAGAGCCCTGCTGGGCCCCTTCCGCGAGAGGGACGCGCTTCATGTGGCACACCCCGCCATCAGCAATGCGGTTCCCACCTGGAAAAGGCCATCCCTCAGGATCGCTTTGTGCCACTTGGTGAGTCAAAACAGGAGCATCCCAGTGACCTCCTCAGCCACTCGCTGCTTCCTACCCGGCAATTTGACGCGAGCTCCTCTGCTCCTCACGGCCACCTTCACAGGGAAACCCGCTCCCCTCCTCCCTCGCCCACCTAAACCCCCAGCGAAGGCCGCGGCCCGGCGGACACCGCACACGGCCGCGAGC